TATATATATATATATATATAAAGAGAGAGAGAGAGAGGAGAGAGAGAGAGAGAGAGAGAGAGAGAGACACACACACACACACACACACAAGAACATGGCACTTCAATTTTTACATGTATGCCACCCTACCTATGCATGAAAATGTATATTCACTTTTTAAAAGTTAAACTGTGATACTTTTTATGATATAGGAAAGTTTGTAGTGGTATAAATGTAAAAAGTAAAGTTTACTTCTTTGTTATGTAAATAAGTAGGGTTGGGTAACATGTAAATAAAAACTTTATTTTCTTTTATTTATTTATTTATTATTATTATGATTATTATTATTATTATAATTATTATTATTATTTTGAGTGGAACCCCAAATCCCCCGTTTTGAGGACATCGGGATATTAGTGACACCACTGGTCAAGAAAAGCAACCCAATTTGTTGACGCTAGCTCTCTGACTAATTTCTATTAGCAATATCTGTAATCACATAACAGAACAGTAGTGGCAAAAGATCCCAGCTTCGAATCAGCTCATCATCTGGACACGACCTAAGTCATAGCAAAAATCGATGCAGTAGCCCACAATTCCCCATAAAAAGATAAAATGGAACAGTTAATTACCCTTTTTGCGGGGGAAATCGCCGACAAATAACCTACCTTATTTAGTTCATTCCAGATTAATTATTTATTGCAGAAATATGTTAAAGAAATATAAGCAACCAGGCATAAAGCAGCCAGGCAGGGTTGACCTAGCTTCTAATCTATTCAATTTCGCCGGCCTCGGACTTCTAGTGACATTGCCAGAAAAAAAAAGTACAGCAATTTCAGGAAATAAACTAATTCAAGTAAATTTATATAATCTATTTCTAGAAAAAAATCACAATTTCAATCAACATATCATCTGACAGAACTACATATGCAAACCTAATACAATCCAACTTGAGAAAAGCCCCAAATTCTAACCTGAAATAGACTGATTAGTTCGGAGACCTTGAATGTGAAAGATGCAAAGAGCACCTCGGCCATAAAACGAACCGCCGGCCGGCAACCAACATGAAAGCATTCCTCGTCGGCGCACATACACACATGCTTCGGCAACTGCCCTATTCTCCCGCTGTAAAGATAATCAATCACGAGAATAAGGGCCTCGAAACCCACAACGAATCCATCGCCCACTAATTCCTTGACATCAATCCTAACCGGAGACGCCGGCGCTTTCTCCTTTCCCGAAAAGAGATCTCGAAAGAAGGAGCTCCGCGCGGAGAGCAAGCAACGGTGGACGGCGAGCTCATTGGGGCCGACAGCAATGCAGGCGTCGGAGAAGAAATCGAAGTCAGGGGTTTGGCGGAGGGAGAAGAGGTGATCTGAGAGGCGGCGGAGGCTCTCTATGTCAGGTGAGGAGGGATCAACGGCGTCTGGGCAGTGGATGCTGCTGCCGTTTTCGGAATCGGAAAAGGTGGGGAGCTGAGTGGTGGAGATCATCGGAAAAGGAGGCGGCGGAGTGAGGTTACAGGATGTAGAAGAGGGGTTGATGGTCCATGGGGAGAGGACGGTGTAGGAGTAGATTAATGAGTGCGAAAATTATAGGGAGAAATTGAAAAAGTCTTCTTTTGTATGTAATCGTGTTTTGAGTTCCGATAGGATTGCACACTTCTAACTGTGGTTTGATTTGTCAAAAATGAAATGTTAAAAATATAATTCATTTTAAAATATTTTAGAGCTATTATTTCACTATAAAATAAATATGAAAATTTATCTTTTTTATTTAATTTGAAGTGATTAAAAATAATATATTTTAAAATATATTTTTTTTTGTCCGGCTGTAGCAGGGGAGCGATAGACAAGGGGTGGCGTACAACAACGACAGGTGGTTCAACGGCTACAATGAGTGGGGAAGCAACGACGGGCGGCTCAGCAGCTACGACGGGCAGGGAAGGTATGCAGGGCAAAGAGGAGGTGGTGGCGAGCGAG